TCTGCCCTCTTTAGCTGCGAATCAATGTATGGTATAGCTCATGCGACGGTTATAGAATAGGGAGAATGAAATACAGTACTCCAAAGTGTGACATTTATCATGGATGAATATGATAGGTGTTCCAAAATCAGGCCATATGGTGTTAAGGTGTCTAAATGACTTTATTTATAAATTACAGAACACAGTGTTATAGAACACAGAGGATGAAATATTCTGAAGTGTGGCATTTGCAGTAGATAAATATGTTCAGCATTATCTTCTAGCTTGAGGCCATATGGTATTTTGGTATGGAAGTGACTTTATTTATACAATTCATTTATATCCCCTGCTTTCCCTTAATGAGCTCAAAGTAGTATACAAAGTAGTATACATGTCTAATCTAAGTAATTAACTACATCCTTCTGGGATCTACAGCAAGCTTGCCTGAAGTACTGTTTAAAATGTTCTCTCTACCAATTGCTCAGATGTGTATCATTTCAATATCCTGTATATGAAATGCTGTGATGCTGAAGGCTGACCAATTGATGTATTTGGTCAGAATCTTATTATTTATGTACAGGGGCATAAGTAAGGTGAAGGTAAAGGTTCCTCTTGACATTTAGTCCAGTCGTGTCCAACTCTAGGGTGCGGTGCTCATCCCCATTTCCAAGCCATAGAGCCAGCGTTTTATCCAAAGACAGTTTCTGCGGTCACATGGCCAGCACGATTAGACACAGAATGCCATTACCTTCCCACCGAGGTGGTACCTATTTAACTACTCGCATTTACTTGCTTTCAAACTGCTAGGTTGGCAGGAGCTAGAACTAGCAACGGCAGCTCACTCCATTGCGTGGATTCAATCTTACGAGTCCTGGTCTTCTGACCATACAGCACAGAGTCTTCTGTGGTTTAACCTGCAGCGCCACCATGTCCTACAGTGGCATAAGTACAACAGTGTAAATCACAGTGGTAAATTGCTAATAATTATGGAGTTGTTGCTTGTATTCACCACTGCACACCAAGATATGACTGATATGTGTCAAAGAATACAAGCAGCAGTTCCTTAATTGGGAGTGGTTCACCACTGATTTATGCTGTTGCATTTACACTATAAGCAACAGAATTCTGACCACTGTGATATTACCCATATCTAGTAATCAGATGCATGCTACTTACCTATATTAGCCTTTCTGAAGCAGATTCCCTCCAGATACTTTGAACTGCAAATCTTGTGAACCCCTAACATGGGCAGTGAAGAAAATGAATGTTGATGTTCAAAACACCTGAAAGGTACTAGTTTGAGGGACAGTATTCATATCTAGAGCAGTAGTGAAATGCTTTTGTGGGAGGCGGTTCTGTCTCTGAAAGCACTCCATGGGCAGAATGCTGCCAGGCAACAATGCCATGTACATCCAACCCTTGGCTGAAGTGGATAGTGACTGACTGTTCATGCTTTTCTCTCACTGGAAAGGATGAGAGTCAAGTGAAATGTCAACTGAGCTACTGTACATAGCCTGAAAGAGTTGAGAGGGAGGCTTCCCTGTTTTGGCCATATGGTAGCAGAAGAGGGCTGAAAGAATGGAAGGGGAGCTCAGAGGGCATCTTCATGGACTAGATGTGAAAGCTTAATGGGCTGGATATCCCTCAGATGTAGAATTCTATAAGCAGTTAGTGGTCCTAAGGGCAAGAGAGCCTACCTGCTGCTTAACTGCTGCATCCTGAGCCAACATCTTTGGTAGCCCTATAAAAATGAAAGAGGGGAGTCTTAACACTAGCAAATGGTAGTGGAGTTCATTCAAAATGTGTTGCAGATTTGTACTTTGTTCCATAATATATATTTGAAAATGAGTTTCCCAAAACAGTTTTCTTAGAATTGACTTTTATGAAGAGAAAAAAAACCAAACCAAAACAAAATAAAAACAAAAAAAAACTCCCTATGAAAGTAGGTATAATAAATGTGTTGCTTGCAATCTGTTGCAGATTAAAATTTATGTTGGCTAAACCTCTTTAATTTTTTGGATACCAAATTTGATGTAATGGATACAGTGACAGACTAAGGCTCAGGAGACCTGGATTTTAATTCCCTCTCAACCATGGAAATCACCAGTGTGTGGGTGAATGTGGCACTGGGAAAACTATCCCTTAAATCAGTGGTCCTCAACCTTGGGCTTCCAGATGTTCTTGGACTACAACTCCCAGAAGCCTTCAACACCACCTCTGCTGGCCAGGATTTCTAGGAGTTGAAGTCCAAGAACATCTGGAGGCCCAAGGTTGGGGACCACTGCCTTAAATAACTCATTTACTCAGAAGGCACTATTAGATTTGCTGTAAATCGGCTCCAACCTAATGGCACATGACTCACATACTTTGGTTTCTGGCACCTTATTATAGTTTTATCCTGAGGTTGTGTGTGAATCATTACAATTTAATCATAAGCAGAAAAGAGAGAATATAAGATACCAAGTAGAAGGGTTGCACTGAAATATAGCAATGTTTAAAGTATCACAATGTTTTTCTATTTTTATCTGATATAATGAGGTGCTTATTGGAAAGGTGGTATTCTCATCAATCATTTCTAAGCTATTACTCAGACTTCATATTTGTATCTCTTTTGTCTTTTGCAAATGTTAAATTCCACTGCCTACTCCTTTATCAAGGGTGTTACTAGGACTGCCAATTTTCCTTTCTCACAAGGCTGCTAAATTTTTAATGCCAGTGTTGAAAACAGAAAATCTGCAGCAAAATAGTCTCCATAGTTTATGCCAGGAAAAGCTGGAGATATTAAATTTAATCTTGCCACAGTTAAGAGAACCAGACAAACTTCTGTTATTAACTGGGAGAGATAAGACTCTTAAGGCATAACTGCATCAGATGTGCAAAACCTTTAGACGATTCTGCCTACAACACAGAATTGTGGAAGTTGTTGTATGTCGCTGGGGAAAAGACGAGCACGAATCGGCAATTTTTTTTGCCAAGCTCCTCAAGTTACAATTTCCAAATCTCCTTAGAAAAGGCAATTAAAGTGGTAGAAAACCAATATGACAAAGTACTGCATGGTTACCCAATAATCAGTTTACCACTTCACTGCACTCTCAATTAAAGGAAAAAGCAAGGCAATTAAACCCTCATAAGAATAATGCCCACATCTGGAATTATATATATTCTTATGAGGGTTTAATTACACACACGTCTAGTTATTGATATTTTATTTTATTATTTCAATTAAATGAAAAATTGAACGGACACGAAAGCATTACCTATGTGTGTCTGTCTACCAGTAATTAACACTGAATGACAGAAAGGCCATTTATCTATATGTAATGTAACTAGCCTGCCATTGTACAGTAAATGATAAACAGAACCGGTCCACCGAATAAATGGCCACTTCCTTATTGCGCGTGGAACGAAAAGCTTTCCATAATATATATTTGAAAATGAGTTTCCCAAAACAGTTTTCTTAGAATTGACTTTTATGAAGAAAAAAAAACCAAAACAAAACAAAACAAAAACAAAAAAAACTCCCTATGAAAGTAGGTATAATAAATGTGTTGCTTGCAATCTGTTGCAGATTAAAATTTATGTTGGCTAAACCTCTTTAATTTTTTGGATACCAAATTTGATGTAATGGATACAGTGACAGACTAAGGCTCAGGAGACCTGGATTTTAATTCCCTCTCAACCATGGAAATCACCAGTGTGTGGGTGAATGTGGCACTGGGAAAACTATCCCTTAAATCAGTGGTCCTCAACCTTGGGCTTCCAGATGTTCTTGGACTACAACTCCTCGACTGGCACAACCTCAGACGGCAGTATCTGCTTGCATGTTAGCGAGCCAAGTGATGCTGCGAACAAAAGATGTACTCATTTACTCAGAAGGCACTATTAGATTTGCTGTAAATCGGCTCCAACCTAATGGCACATGACTCACATACTTTGGTTTCTGGCACCTTATTATAGTTTTATCCTGAGGTTGTGTGTGAATCATTACAATTTAATCATAAGCAGAAAAGAGAGAATATAAGATACCAAGTAGAAGGGTTGCACTGAAATATAGCAATGTTTAAAGTATCACAATGTTTTTCTATTTTTATCTGATATAATGAGGTGCTTATTGGAAAGGTGGTATTCTCATCAATCATTTCTAAGCTATTACTCAGACTTCATATTTGTATCTCTTTTGTCTTTTGCAAATGTTAAATTCCACTGCCTACTCCTTTATCAAGGGTGTTACTAGGACTGCCAATTTTCCTTTCTCACAAGGCTGCTAAATTTTTAATGCCAGTGTTGAAAACAGAAAATCTACAGCAAAATAGTCTCCATAGTTTATGCCAGGAAAAGCTGGAGATATTAAATTTAATCTTGCCACAGTTAAGAGAACCAGACAAACTTCTGTTATTAACTGGGAGAGATAAGACTCTTAAGGCATAACTGCATCAGATGTGCAAAACCTTTAGACGATTCTGCCTACAACACAGAATTGTGGAAGTTGTTGTATGTCGCTGGGGAAAAGACGAGCACGAATCGGCAATTTTTTTTGCCAAGCTCCTCAAGTTACAATTTCCAAATTTCCTTAGAAAAGGCAATTAAAGTGGTAGAAAACCAATATGACAAAGTACTGCATGGTTACCCAATAATCAGTTTACCACTTCACTGCACTCTCAATTAAAGGAAAAAGCAAGGCAATTAAACCCTCATAAGAATAATGCCCACATCTGGAATTATATATATTCTTATGAGGGTTTAATTACACACACGTCTAGTTATTGATATTTTATTTTATTATTTCAATTAAATGAAAAATTGAACGGACACGAAAGCATTACCTATGTGTGTCTGTCTACCAGTAATTAACACTGAATGACAGAAAGGCCATTTATCTATATGTAATGTAACTAGCCTGCCATTGTACAGTAAATGATAAACAGAACCGGTCCACCGAATAAATGGCCACTTCCTTATTGCGCGTGGAACGAAAAGCTGAGGAGGGCAGGGGCGGCGGACTGTTTTTACGGTTGCACCACGGCTGCCCATGTGAGTCGGAAGTGGCCGAAATTTCCGGGAATCTTTCGGTAGCGGGATAGCCTCATGGTGGAAGCACATTAGAGCGCTTGGCCCGCCCGCACCGGGAGCTGAGGAGAGGAGATGTCGGCGGCGGGCGACGCCGGTCCTGGGGCCGCGGCCAGCGGGAGCAGCGCGCTCTTCGCGGGCTTCCGCGCGCTCGGGCTCTACTCCAACCACGTGGCGCACGTGCTCCGCTACCATCGCCGCCACCGGGAGTTCTACTTGGTCACCGCGGCGGGGAGGAGCTTCCACACTTACAACGTGAGTCCACTGCCCTGGGTAGCCTCGGTCGGGGCCCCGCAACAGCCACACACACACACCCAACTCTGTTTCCTAGGATGAGACGTAGAACTGAGCTTCCTAGCCTTTCTCGACTGGCGCAACCTCAGACGGCAGTATCCGCTTGCATGGTAGAGAGCCAAGTGATGCTGCGAACAAAAGATGTACAGTACGAAACATTGGGATTTTCTTTAAAAACAAGTGCACGGAGAAGGACTTCAATGTGACTAAAGCAGTAGAAGTGGAGGCAGCGGGGGATGATGCCCACTAAGCTTGGGGGTGGGGATAAGGCACAGCTTGTGTGGAGTCAAGCAAGACAGGCGGAGTCCAGGCAGCGTTTATGTAGTTAAACACAGGCACATGCATAGGTATTGAGACACCCTCTTCCTTTATTCTATTGATTTGTCTCTTTTTTTATCTCAGTTGGAGAACAGAAAAATTCAGTTCTTCAAACTAATATCTCTGGTTTATGAATGTGAGATATTGTGCTTTTGTACCATGATTCAGAAAGCTGTGAAATGGCCCAGTATTGCTGCACAATACAGTATGCACGTTGTGCTGCACACTGTCAGCAGGAAAAAGGATGCCAAACTTTATATAGCAAAGGGCAGGCTGAATGTTGACAGCACCCATGTCAGCAGTCAAGAGGGTCTACACAGGATACCCTTTTCTACTCACTGCCATTTACAAGGAGACAGGAATCAGGGAAATTCCAGAAGCTGGCTACCTTTTTTCATCGGTAACCACTTCTCACCCAAACACAAAGCAATTGTCAGGGCTGTTTTTCAACAAGTGTGAATGGTAGTGAGAAGAAGAGGGAATTTGGCCTTGGGGTGGGGGGTTGGGGAAGAATTTCCTGGCTTTTAAAAACAGGTTTAAATATATTCAAGCTACACAAAAACTCAATCAGAAATGTTCCTCATATAGAATTATGCAGTGGTAGAGGATTCAAGAAGATGAGCATATGATCTGTACTGTGATTACTGGAAGAAGGCAGAAGTGAGAACAGCTTGAATGTGTGCCAAAATATTTTGAAAGCTGTTTTGGACGTAATGAAATGATGAAGCAAAGGTGTGAGTAGGTACAACTCAAACAATGAAGAAACATACACACTCTTTGACCTCTCAGTTAAACTAATGCTGCCATGCCTGCTGTGCCAAATGCATGAATGCTGCCATGCCTGCTGTGCCAAATGCAGGTCAAATCAAGCCTGAGCTCTCGCTTGCGCAAAAATTAGTAAATCTTACTATGCACATATAATGGAAATACAGAAGTGGGTAGAATAGACTAGATTGCTGGGAAAAGTGGGGAGGAGCAATAGACAAAGACAAAGATCTAACATGAGACGGGTTGACTCAATAATTGAAGCCACAGCTGTTTGTTTGCAATATCTCAGAATAGACTAGATTGCTGGGAAGAGTGGGGAGGAGCAATAGACAAAGACGAAGATCTAACATGAGATGGGTTGACTCAATAAATGAAGCCACAGCTGTTTGTTTGCAATATCTGATCAGAACTTAATGGAAAAGACAATATTGTTGGAGGACGGGGAGCAGCAGGAAGAGAGAATAACCCAACGTGACATGCTGTTGATTGTAAGATCTGAGCAGAGCGAAGACAGGGAGCAGCAGAAAGAGAGAATAACTCAACGTGAGATGCTGTTGATTGTAAGATCTGAGCAGAGCTCTTAATAACAGGACATTTTGGAAGTTAGTAACTCATACAGAACTGTTTATCCTGCCATATAGTCATCCTAGCCCTCTGGAATAAAGTCTGATAGAATAGGAAAGGAAGGGGGCTGTATTGACTGTTCTTGCTCCAAGGCAGCACATCCTCGGCAGAGCCCTACCTGAGGAGAAAGAAGGGGCAAAGGGGTGGGGGTTAACTCCTTTCTGTCTCTCAAACCTTCACACTAATGTTCTCCCCTCATGCTGCAGCTGACCTTGGCTGCTATCTCCTTACTTGTGAGTAAATGAGTAAAACTTGCTTTGAAATCATCCCCAGGCACAAAGCAAAAAGAGTAATTTCACAGCTGAAATGAGTAAGCTGCTCAATGCTATTCTCTATTTAAAACATCTTTAAAACCGCCTAGAGTGGTCGAAATGACTAGGTAGGCGGGGTATAAATACAATAAATAAAATAAAAATAAATATTCTCACAAGGAATTCAGTCCATTTAGAATGCTGACAGTTTGTAAGGATGCCCTAACTCTCAGTTTTTTTCTCTTTAAAATGATTGATTCTTGAGTGTTTATTGGAGTCATGAATGGCTGAATTCCTTCCAAATTACAAAAAAGGAACTGACCATTTTCTTTCAAAATACACAGATTTGGTCCTGTTGATGTATCCACATGGGTGCAGAAAGAGCCTGCATGTCACATCCTGTACAGTACTTACAAACCTGTTACTGTAAGAGTAGCTTAGCTTATCAAGGTGGCAACATGCTGGCCTATCAGAGAAGGGATTTGTGGCGCTCAGCACTTAACAGTTTTCTCTTCCTCCGGAAGAGAAGGGTGGATATGTTCTTTGTCTCTGCTGATTTCAGTGTAGGGGACCTAGGATATTAAAAACCCCTGGGGTGCCTAAATCTTGGTAGCCCCTCTACCACTGGAAGGGAGCACCTGTCACACCTCAGTAAGGACCACACCCAGCTGGACTCAGATATGCTTCCCATCTTGTGAGAGTCCTTTTGCTATAGTGCTTCATGCTGCATTCATGTCAGCTGTCTACGTGGTAAACCTTCTAAGGCACCAGTGGTTTTCAGTCTTCATTATTACTCAGCAAACAGAAAAAAAAGTTAATGGGGGTTCTGGCTGGTCCAAAATCACCAGTTAGCACAGACTCCTATGAGGAAATGCATTTGTTGTATATCTACCAGTAAGGAATTCCGCTAACTTACAATGCTTGCCAAACTAAGGATGATGGCATATCCCTATGTATTACAAATGGATGAATTAATATGGAAGTGTAATCATGCTTTATGGCATTTTATAAAGCATTTGAAAAGAACTCTAATTTGTTCTTGTGCAGATGGTGTTTCAAGATTCTCTTTCTTAGTCTGTATGTAGTTATGCTTTACAGGAACATAATAGGTGTCTGGATTAACTCATACTTTAGACCAGTGGTTCCCAACTTTAGGATCCCTGATGTTCCTGGACTAAAATTCCGAGAAGCCTTCACCACAAGACCTAACCTGAAAATAAGCCCTAGTATGATTTTTGAGGATGCTCGTAATATTATCCCTACCCCCAAAAAAGCTCCAGTTAAGTGAAACCCCACCCTCCACCATTGTGCAGCAACCAGAAGTATATATTTGAATAAATATAGTTTGTTGTAGATAAAAAAACCTGGAAAATAAGCCCTAATGCTTATTTTGAAGCATTAGGGCTCCAAAATAGCTTATTTTTGGAGCAAAAATTAATATAAGACCCTGTCTTATTTTTGGGGAAACACGGTTCCTCCAAGTCAAATAGTTCCCTCATCTCAGTTCAAAAGAATTCTATTCTTTCATATTACTTATTTTATTTATTTATTTATTTATTTGATTTGATTTATATCCTGCCCATCTGTTGTGGTCGACCACTCTTCCTATTCATTTTGCAGTACATTTAAGAATAGTAGCTTGATGATGCTGACATGTATATCTTCCATTAAATTATGTATTCATGTTGGCATATTTAATGCTTCAAATAAAGCATTAAAGTAGGGCAGAATCCTCATGCTCCTCATACGTAGTCCACTTTTTTTGTTTTGTTTTTCAGATAAGAATGTCTTGCCTGAAGGAAGCAAAATATCTTCCACATACTGGCTCAGATCTTTAAAAGTACTATTTCAGCAAGAATGTCCTTATAGTTCTGTTCAGCAACTTATTGCACAGGACTGTTTCTGCTGTTATGGATGGGATTTCTGGGTTTTTTTTGGACTGTAGCTTCCCAAATTTGCCAAGAATTCCGCATACATAATTCTAAGACAGTGGTTCTTAACCTTTGTTACTCGGATGTTTTTGAACTGCAACTCCCAGAAACCCCAGCCAGCACAGTTGGTGGTGAAGGCTTCTGGGAGTTGCAGTTCAAAACTCCTGACCAAATTTGCCAAGAATTCCACATACATAATTCTAAGAGATGCAGCCTAAAAAGAAGTCTACAGACCAGTTTTCATTAACTCCATGCATGCCAAAACTCCTGAGTAACCCAAGGTTAAGAACCAGTGGATGGAGCCTAAAAAGAAGTCTATAGACCAGTTTTCATTAACTCCATGCATGCCTCTGGTAGCCTGGTTCCCATTTCAAAAGCAAAGAAACTGCCTTGGTGCTCCTTGGGAGTCTCCAAGCTTCCGAGGGGGTGGGGGGAATCTTACTGCCCCTTAGGCTCCACCTGCCCCAAAGACTATTTCTGCTAAAGGCTGAATAACCATAATCAAGGTTCCCTCTTAATCATTATTATAATGATAAAGGTTTATAAACTTCTGACTGCCATGGTTGCAGATCCCAGAATCTCTAAGTCTTGTCTGTAGTGGGGCTTCTGAAGGTTAAGGCCAAAGCATCTGAGGACCTAACTTGGGAAATCACTGCTCTGTCATATCCATCACCAGTAGTCTTATCTCTCATTAAATCCCCACCCCAGTGTTGGTTAGAATCCTGTTGGGGTTTTATGCAGGTGTCATTGTGTAAATCACAGCAGCAAACTAACATTCCTCAGGTATAGAACCTCACTGGGGAACGGGGTGACCAGGTTAAATCACTTCTTGTACATCTTAGGTAACTTTAAAAACCTTGTTAGGATTACAGTACATTGAGGCAACTTACCTGCATATAATGACAACAGCATTATTGTCATTGCAGCAAAAAAAGTGTGACCTTATAGAATACAATTCTGACGATATTAAGGATGTATAATTCTGATTGTTGGACTACAAATCTATAATTCTCCATTTTGGGAATTCCATCCTCAATGTGTCACACCTAAGAGAAGGGCTAAGCTTGAAGGTTTTGTGCCCAGGCTAGGATTAGCTCTGCCCAAACTTCATGTCCAGCAAGGAATCTTCCAGTTAGTACTTGGACAGCTTCCTTTCTGAACGGGAGACTTGGGTGTAGCTAGTACTGGCTAGGCCTCAACAATTTCAAACTCAGGCCTTTTCCCCAAATGAGCCATGTTTAGAAGTCTGTTGCCATCTCTCTGTCAGGTGAAACTCTGTGAATGGAGAATTATGGAATTTGTAGTTCAAATATTCCAAATGGCACAATTTTTATACACCAGCTCATCGTTGCACAATGTATAGTCCTAAGCTAGACTTAAATGATGTTGTATCACTTGTTTGTTGATGTAGCTTGAAATTGTGATCTTAAAGTCAAAATCTTATGCGTAGAGTAGGAGTAGCAGGTAGAAATTCTGTTAAAACTGTTTCTGCCACTGAAGCTACAAGTTAACCATGAGCTGAGGTTCACCCGTCTACATGCAACTTTGGATTCCTCAGCACTTACAGGCAGCTCTGCAGGACTCTCCTCTCTGGGTCCTTGTTTGACGACTTACAACAGCCTGGCACAAAGTGCTTCGTGCCCATCTCTAGTTTCATATCTACAAATGTGTGTCTGTAAGGCAGCTCCACACTAATGCCAGTTGGTGTAGTTAACCACTGTTTTGGGGGTTAGAGACTATGATCCACGTGGTGGATAGAATTTCAGCACTCCTTCTGTCATTCATCTAACCTAAAAAGCATTAATTGAATTAATAGGATAATATGTAGTGGTTAATTGTTAATATATTCATGAACTGCTGGGGGTGGAGCCATGAGTTTGGGAGTTCGATTCCTCACTGTGCATCTTTGACAGGGGCTGGACTCATTGATCCATAGGGTCCCTTCCAGTTCTCCAGTTCAAAGATGATGATGTAATGTTCAGATCTGAGTGGTGGAAGTGCACTGTGAATTAGCTTGAAGATGCAACAAGAAGGGTTCCAGCTGCAGACTGGAGAGTCAGTTTACATAACGACTTTCAGGCTCTGTGAATCATAAAAATAATTACAGGAAATAAAGCGTGAAAAAGCACGTAATTCGATTAAATGAGTTGTACCATTGCAGACATGACGTTTCCCAGCTTTATTTAAATAAATATATATATATATCTCCACATTTTCTGGATAATTACGTGCCACCTATGGGCTCACATCCTGTTAGTAAATTGCACTAGAATGTTGTTTGTTGATGTTGTCCTGTGCTATCATATCTCCTCTCGCTCATGGTGACCCTGCGAATGAGGGCCCTCCAAAATCCTGTCCTCAGCTGCCCTGCTCAGCTTCTGCAGACTCAAGCCTGTGGTCTCTTTTAGGGAGTCAGTCCACCTCATATTTGGTCTCTCTTTTCCTTCTGCCTTCTTCCTTTTACAGCATTATTGTATTTTCCAGGGAATCTTGTCTTCACATGATGTGCCCAAAGTTTTAACATGTTTGCTTCCAAAGATAATTCAGGCTTGATTTTATATAGGACACACTTGTTTGTCTTTCTGGCAAACCAGGGCATCTACAAAGCAGCACCGTATTTCAGATGAATTAATTTTTTCCCTTTCAACTTTCTTACCTGTCCAGCTTTCACATCCATACATGGTGCACTAGAACAGGTCCATTGAATCACTAAGGAGATGGTGAATCAAATCCTTTGTAAGTTCCATTGATTCAAATGGGCCTACTCTAGTTGTAACATATGATAGTAAAGAAAGTTGCATAGAGTAAGACCAGTTAAGTCAGCGGAACTTATGGGGGAACTAACTCATCAAATCACCACTGATTCAGTTGGCCTACTCTAGTGCAACTCACTATGCTAAGCAACATGAATTCAGCCTTTGTAGAGTTCTAATGAAGGAACTTGTATTTTTAAATGATAACTGTTTTGGCTTAGTATTTCCAACAAAAACTGACTTGTTCTTTTTTTTTTTATTTCAGGTGAAGAAGCTAGGCATAGTTGCTGTTAGTAAGTATGATACCATGTATGGATGAAAATAATCCAGGGTTTTGCTGAGGATTCTGTATAAATTGTTACTTGCAGCTAGGTTGTTTTGGGTTTTGTTTTGTTTTGTTTTTTTACAAAAATGCTGTTATAAAACTGTGTGACTCATTTAAAAAAAACTTAAAATCTTTCCAACATTTGAACAGAAATAGAGAATAAGCAATATAACTAAGTATTCATTCCAATAGAGGCTGAAATTGTGTTGCTCATCTTTACACTAAGACTCTTTGAATATCGGACAGTTGCCACCATTAATCATATGAAAAGCTTCTTCCCCCACCCTGAGGGTCCCAAAAGCTTCCCCAAGGCAAACAGGAGCCCTAAGTTCAGACTTAGAACCTGAACTTTGAAGGATAGGAGGTTTTACGTTAAATTAAAGACTTCTGCCATCTGCTGATAATGTTATCCTTGTTGCATGGCATAAAGTTATGCCAGTTGGGTTTATAGAATAATGAAGTTGGAAGGGGCCTATAAGCCAGTGGTGCCCAACCTTTTCCCAACCACGGACTGGTTGGGTGTTTGTGGCATACTTGCGGAGGTGTTGTGCACATGCCTGCGGCGTGTTCATGGGGGGCGCTCGTAGGGGGAGGAGATCTGCGTCCATGGCCTGGTCTTGCACTCTGAGATGATTGAGAAGAGAATATGATAGTAAAGAAAGTTGCATAGAGTAAGACCAGTTAAGTCAGCGGAACTTATGGGGGAACTAACTCATCAAATCACCACTGATTCAGTTGGCCTACTCTAGTGCAACTCACTATGCTAAGCAACATGATTTAATCCATGAAAGGAAAATTTTGCATCCACCCAATTTTTTCAGTTTTTCATCATAGGGCTTGGCTTCCAGTTCCCTGATCATCCTTGTTGCCTTCCTCTGAATTTGTTCCAGTTTGTCAGCATCCTTCTTAAAGTGCAGTGTCCAGAACTGGACACAGCAGTCAAGATGAGACCTAACCAGTGCAATTAGAAGGGAGCTAGTATTTCACGGGATTTCAGTTCAATTTGTTAATGCAGCCTAAAACAGCATATACGCTTTTTTGTGGCCACATCGCGTTGTTGGCTCATATTCAGCCTGTGATTTACAACAATTTAAAGAATCTTCTTGCTTGCAGTATTACTAAACCAAGTATCCCCCATCTTCTCATTGTGTGGTTGGTTCCCCCCCCCCGGTGTAAAATGTTTCACTTATCCCTATTAAATTTCATTCTGTTGTTTTCAGCCCAGTGCTCCAGCCTGTCAAGATCTTTTGAATTTTGTTCCTGTCTTCTAGGGCATTAGCTCTTCTACCCAATGTTGTGCCATGCACAAATTTGATAAACAATTCCTACACCTCCTCATCCAAGTCATTAATAAAGATGTTCAAGAGCACCAGGCCAAGGACTAAGCCTTATGGTACTCTTATTTGCCCCCTCCTCCCAGTTTGAGGAAGAGCCATTGATAAACACTCTCTGAGTACAATTGTATCCTCCTCCCCCCCCACCCTCTGCAGCCAAGCTCAGATTGTAAACTACCTCATCCTGTTACTTCCTTGGTTGAAGCAGCGGACTCCTAAATGCTCCCTTTGTTCAGAGAGATGGGGAGATAAGCTTCCCTAATAGTTTGCAGCTGGGGATTAGCCCAGCCAATCAATCAATCCGGGGCTTCTGAATGACTGCTTCCTCCAGAAGTGAATGTGAGCAAGCAGAAGGCGGGAAAGGAGCAAGGAAGAAAAGGAGGGAAGAAAGAAAGAAAGGTGCAAGAGACCAAGGACTTCATCAGGCTTATTTAAATGTATGTAATTGGAGAAAATGGAGGGAGGGAGGAAATGGTGTGTGTGTGTGTGTGTGTGTGAGAGAGAGAGAGAGACAGAGAGAGACAGAAAGACAGACAGACAGACAGACTGACTCAAAACTGAAAAATGAAAGAGAAACTGAATTAAGGCAGGGAGAGGGTGGCTTTTTAAGGTGCTGTCTGGGTTTATCATTGCTTTGCTTCCAAGAAGCAGGCATCTTTGAATTTTGTGGCTGTTGTCACCCTCTGCAGTGATCATGCAGCTCAAGAAAGTAAAATCTGTCACTGCCTCCATAGCTTCCCCTTCCGTTTGCCAGGAGGTGATGGGACCAGTGGCCAGGATCTTATTTTTGTTGTTGTTGTTGAGCTTCAGAGCATTTTTTGCGTTCTCCTCTTTCACCCTCATTAAGAGCTTCTTTAAGTCCTCACTTTCTGCCATGCTTTTGCATAGTCAATGAAGTAGAAGTAGATGTTTTTCTGGAACTCTCTGGCTTTCTCTATAATCCAGGGCACTGGTTCTTAACCTTGGGTTCTTAACCTTGTCATCCATGATTACTGATTTTTCTTGCTTGTTCTGGAATATGGTAGCCCAATCCAATCTTATTTAAAATTATTGTCATGGGGATTAGAGAAATGTTAAACAGCAGTGGTGACAAAGAGTCCCTTTGAAATATTCCTATTGATCAGGGCTTGAAAAATCCACTCATCCACTCGTCGGTGACGAGTGAAAAAATGCTGCTTGATGAGCAACAGCTCCTTCCCTCCTTCTCTCCCTCCTTGCCTCCTTACCATCAGCCTGTCTCTCTCTCTCTCTCTCTGATCCTGCAGTCCTCCCCTCCCCCTTCCCATTGCAAAAGGAAAAACAGCCCAATTCTCACAAGAAGAGAGTTTGAGCGGCACATAGATATTTAGCTCTGCAGGAGAATGTCCAGTAGTCCCATGCTGGAGAATATGGAGAGTCCCTGCTCCCAATTTCAACCAAACAACCTGGCTCCTTAATAGGCCAGGCACTTTTGCTTTCTGTTTTATTTTTGCTGGAGACTTTCAAAAGAAAGGCATTCAAAATACAAGCTTCATGACCCCACAGGCACGCAGGTAATAAGGCAACCAAAGACTGAGGGTATCAATCAGTAAGTCCTGTGTACGTAATACAATTTATACACATTTTGTACACATTGTTACATAGAACTAAAAGTGAACAAGTGCCTAGTTTACATTGACTGGTGAAACATTCTAAAATTTTTCAAGCCCTAATTATTTAGACCACAAAGAATTACATTAAGAGAAGCAATAGCATCCCCAGGTACAAGCAGGTATGTAGTACCCAGTTGCCAACTTCCCATACTTTTGCTATATTCTTACCTTATAGAATTTCAACTACATGTTGCCATTTGGCAAAATTAAGCAACACTTGCAGATTATAATGAAGTTATGTTGCCAGAGTATAATTAAACGTGGAGTGTATATCTACAGTGGAAAACAAGAGAGATAGTGAAGATTCTGAGATTAAAAACAGAACATGAAATACAGGAGGGAGAGAGTCAACTAGTCACTTCTGATTCAATATTTTTAATTCAAATAATGTATGATTTCCTTCCTTTCGAATCAAGGGGGTAATGTCGGCGTATATAAATTTTTTGGGGGGTAAAATGTAAAAAAGTTCCCTGACCCCTGCCTTATGGTATTCTTATTTGCCGCCTCCTCCCAGTTTGAGGAAGAGCCATTGATAAACACTCTCTGAGTACAATTCTATAGCCAACTGTGTATCCACCTGACAATTGTTCTATTCAGTCCACACTTAGTTAGCTTGCTAATCAAAATATCATGGGGCACTTTGTGAAAGACTTTGCTTAACTTAAGATATATTATGTCTACAGCATTCTCAGTATCTACCAGGGAGGTTACTTAATCCAAAAATGGGATAAGATTTAAATTGTGTCTTTTAATGATGTAAGGCAGGGTCCCCAACCTTTTTCACCTTGTGGACTGGCTGGAGAAGGCGGGGCACCCCGTGCGTGTGCACATGCGTGAATGAGCATGCACGCGCATGTGCAAACAGCAGTGCGGCACTCGCATAGGTGTGTTGTAGCACACGCGCATGCACAAATCAGCTGTGTGGGGGGTGGAGGTCTATCTCCGCGGCCAGGACCGACTCGGGTCATAGACCAACACCGGGCCGTGGACTGGAGGTTGGGGACCTCTGATGTAAGGCACCTTGGATCCTTTTTAAAGGTTCTAGGAAATGCAGGAGGAAAATATTTTGAATATTTTACATAAGCGATACAAGCTAGGAATTTCTTGGAAGGGCTATATTTGTCAGCATTTGCTTTCCAACAAATATCAGGACAGTGATCTTTCATTACTGCTACATTGTATCTCTCAGAAATTCTTGTGACCTGTTTTTCAAAGATTTCATCGGCATCTTCTCCTTGATTGGGTGGTTAGTAGTAGACGCCCAATTACTCCATTCATTTTGTTTTTCTCCCTAGTTATATTAATCCAGATGTTCTTGACAGGGCAATCAAGCTCATTCTCGTGCATTTCTTTTTCAGGTACTATATAAGAAGAGACCTGTATTCAGTACATTTATTTCTAGTTGACATTTTTTTGACATTTCTGCGCTTCATCATATTCTTTTTGAAATTCCCATGTGATTGAGATGATTACATTTTTCCAGTTTAATGCTATAGTTTAATGCTATATTTTACTTTCCAGCATGTAGCAATACTTATGAGCTATATATCACACCTTTCCTTTAACATTACCTAAAAGACAATTCCTAAAGTATCATATTTAATATTTAATAATATCTTTAATGAGCCATATTATAATATATCCATATATCTGAGTCCTAGAACAGTCAGCAATAACAAATATACAGTGGTGCCTCGCACAACGAGTGCACCGTAGAGCGATGAATTCGCTCTACGAGGCCGGTTTTGCGATCGCAAATGCGATTGCATACCGATGCCTGCATAGGGCGAAAATCGCAGAGCGAAGGTCAGTAAGCGGTTCGCTTACCGACCTTCGCTTTGCGACCTGCCGATCAGCTGTTTGGCGGGTCCAAAATGGCCGCCGGAAGCCCCAAAATGGCCACGCGCAGCTTTTTCGCGCCCTCGTTAAGCGAGGGGAGGGCGCGAAAATGGCTGCCGGCCATTGGAAAAGCATCGCTGTACGGTGAGTAAAGCTGCTATTGGAACGCATTAAACTAAGTTTAATGCATTCCAATGGCTTTTTCCTTCCCGTACAGCGATGTTTTCACACAGCGAGGGTTAATCCGGAACGGATTAACCTCGCTGTGCGAGGCACCACTGTATGTGTAAAAGCCAATTAGAACTTGCCACATAGCTGCTCAGTATAGTCTTTGGAGCCTGGAAAGAATGTAATAGCAGTGAAATGGAACTTTATGTATTTTTATTCATATTTTATATCAACTGAATTCAGCATCATAACCATTTTTGTGCATCTTGCAGAATCACATTACCTAAGTCTGTTTTCCGTTTTGAAACAATATGAATCCTTTTGAAGTTGGCAAAATGATATCTCAAAAATATATCTTTTTCTAGAGAAGTTTTTTAAAAGTACCTTTAATATGGAAATTAAGAGAACGTTTCTCACAAATGAAACTTGACATTTAGCATAGTAAATATAAAAAGAGACAGCACAATACAACCTTCCTTATTAGCATTTCCAGTTTGAGGTGTTTGTTTTAAATATGATGTGTTATCAAACATTTGCAATTCATTTGGTCTGGATGTTTCAAATGAATTTAAAATAATTTGCTTTGTGTTTTACTCCAGTTACTTTTTCTTTGTCCTAGTTCCTTTCTTAGGTTTTTTAATTCTTGCACAGTTCTTTAAAATGCTTAACAACTATTGTAATTGATAGGCATAGTTTCCAAATGTGGGTTAGGATCCCATGAAGGCATGAGTGTGTGCAAAAGAGAGCAGTGTGTTCAGACAGAGCTTAGAGTGGAATACTGTACAACTCACCCGTTCGATTTTGTCACTTGGCTGCCTGTCATTTGGCACCTGTCAAATACTCCTTTCCCAGCAGTGGGAAATAGAGCAATGATGGCAAGTTGCAGTTGTTGAAGGTAGTATTCTCAAGTACTTATAGGCCCCATTGAATCCCAGCTAATAAGTTTGATATCCTGCTATCTGCATTTTAGCAATATTGGTGCTTGAGCACACTTTCTTGGAATAAAGGCTGTAGTCCTGAATATGCTTGGGAGTGCATTGACTACTGTAGTACAAAAGTAGAAAACATACGGGAATGTACTGTAAATCCTATAGATCTTAGTCAGAAGAGTTGGGTCTTTTTTTAGTAGTATTCCTTCAGGTGTAATCTGTAGTAACTTCTCTGTCTTAATCCTGATAATGTAATAAAGCTATATTTTTTAGATAAATGGCAAGTATATTAGCAAGTGACTTTTTGGTCATGTAAAAATGTGGGTGTTTTACTTGTTTCCACCTATCTTTTAGGCAATGCTTTGCCACAGAACATCACATGTTTGGCAGCAGATAGAATGTTGGTCTTTGCAGCATGTGGCAGCTTCCTGTATGCTTTGGCTAGAAACAAAGAGGTTTGTATCATTATTAAATAATATGGCATGTTTTTTATCTGATTCTAGAAGATTCAGTTGTATTCAAGATACACTAATCAAAATTATTCAGCCCCTATTGCAAATCAGGTTTATTACCCAAATTTACAGACTTTCAGCTGTCTGCAATTAACAAATCAAACAAAATCAATTGAAATAGCTCAGCGCAACGAATGCTTCAAGTGATTTTGCCAAATTCAACTGAAAATGCAACTTTCAATGAATTCTCTAGTCTCAAAGTTATTCAACCCCATGAACAGAATCCCTCACAACAGCACAAATTTGCAAAACACGTGTCGTCTCAAGCACACCTGATGCAATGAATTAAGGGCTTCATTAGTTGCACCAGATGTGCTTGAGCTGGAACGCATGAAGTATCTGTACTGGCAAGAGGTTTGGTGAGTGTCACATTTGACTGCATGTTAGAAATATTGAGTCAAAAGAATGGCCCAGAAAGGTAAGAGAAGAGATAATTGCCCTTTAAGTCAAAAGAATGACCCAGAAAGGTAAGAGAAGAGATAATTGCCCTTCCCAAGCAAGGAACAGGATACAAAAAGATAGCAAAGGTACTGAATGTTTTTAGAGACACCGTTGGAATTTCAAATTTAAAGGTTTGAATAACTTTGATTACAACTGTATGTGCACTGGTAGTGTCAGAGTTTCAGTTTAAACTTAAATAACTAAGCAGATGAATGCTTCTTAGAAGGAGATTCCTTTGAAATTATCTTGGGACCTCCAGTAATTGTGGAGGTGGTGATTAGGTATGGATGTTTTCTCCTTGTTGTGTTTCTTTTGCTGTGGATTTTTCAAAACTGGAAGGAGATCTAGAGTGCAGTTTGTGCACTAATGCGTTGTGAAAAGGCTGCTGAATATTATTTGTTAAATAATTGTGCAATTAATATAATATTATCTCAGCAAGTTTTTATTACTTCTCTTCCCAGTATAATACATATTAATGGAAAAGTATGTGTAAATTTCGATGACTAGTTGGATGTTGTGTTTTTCATTTTGCTTTCTGATAGTAGATTATCAAATTATACAGCTCTAGAATTTTCGAATAGAATTCAGCATAATTACTCCCAAGCTGATGAGAAGGGACTCGTTCAAGGAACTTGAAAATGCTGGGTCTGATAGTGTTCTTCAGAATAGTGACTCATGTGATATGTGATCCCTTCAGGGTATCATGAAATCTTGCGGGGAAAGGAGAGTACAAAAGTTTTTTGTCTAGAGGAAGGGCACCCTAATACTGGTTGCTTTTCTATTAAGTTTCAATATGTAAATAAAACTTAGAGTGCACTCTGTAAACTTTCCAATTTGGGAAGATGTCACAATTGGAAAAAAAAGAGACAAAGACATTTTTCTTCAGACAGGCTTTCCACTAGTAAGTGACTATCTGGGAGGGGTGTTTAAATGAAGTGTTGTGCCTTGTTGCTTTTAAATGTGTCTTTAACATTGATTTTATTTATCATTTTAAATATAGTATTTGTTTAATTTCTTTTTTAATATTTGTAATCTTACCATTTTTAGCTTTTTAATATTGTCTTTTTAATGTTGCAAGCTACCTTGGGTCCCTTTTAAGGAGAAAGGCAGGGTAAAAATATTTTAAATAAATAATAAATGAACTCCCAAGTGTGGAGAAGGAAAACAAGATTAGTAGCTTCATTGAGTCTCTTGAGTGTCTTTGGCCTTGTCCACGCTGTGAAGTTTGGTGCAATCCGGGTGGTGCTTAAAAGGTCCTTATCTTCACTGCCATCTATTTTAACTCTTGGTACCCATCTGCCAAGGCAGAATGGTAAGCTATTTCGCATCTCATTGAAAGATTGCATGCTCTAGCTCAGCGCCAGAAAGATATGGGCCAGTTCATAAAAGGGAAGGATGGATTGTTTTCAATAGGAACACAAGCGGATGAGATTTTTCCCCCCTGTGCCAAACAGTGCTGTCAGGGAACCATATATCATAACTATATGCCAGTGTGGACAAGCTCTTAGAAAGCTTGGGGAACCCCTCTGCTTCCTATAGCTCAGAGCAAGCTCAAGAAGACCCTCCCATTTCTACCACAGAGCTCAGGAAGATGGACAAGCTCTTAGAAAGGTTGGGGAACCCCTCTGCTTCCTACAGCTCAGAGCAAGCTCAAGAAGATCCTCACTCCCATTTCTACCACAGAGCTCAGGAAGAAAGTGCAACATTCGAGTCTGAGGAAGCACTGACCTTTCCACTAATTTTCACGCTAACTGGGTTATGCATTCTTCAGGGTGCCACAGGCACCAGTCAGGCACCATTATACACCTTTTAATACCTACAATCCTAGACACCACTTTAAGGCATTAAAGTGCGAGAACTACCACCTTCCAAACCCCATTCCACAAGTATTTTGGGGTGGTTCTTCTCTGCTGTCCCCATTTGTTCTTGGACTAAAATTCCTAGGTTGTGTTTTTTCCCCATGTGGTCCATGACCCCACTGAAGAGGAAAAACAGCCACCCACAGATAAAGTATTTCTGCCATACATCAGAGGGGTCACGGACCGCATGCGTGTATGGCAGAAATACTTTATTTGTGGGTGGCTGTTTTTCCTCTTCGGTGGGGTCACGGACCACATGGGGAAACCTTTGGAAAAACACGACCTACAAACAGTATTCAAGCCCACCACAAAAATGCAAAACACAGAAGTACTGGACAACACCAGCAATCAAACAATCCACAACAACCATCAGATCCCAGCTGTGAAAGCCTTCGAGAATACAAAGGTCACAACTGGGCAGAACTGCCACAGCATATCTCGGAAAGATGGCTTGGGTCCTCCCACCTTTGCCACATTTCTAGCCGCCTAGAGTGGTCCTGACCCGACCAGATAGGCGGGATATAAATTAAATAAGTAAGTAAGTAAGTAAGTAAGTAAATAAATAAATAAATAAATAAATAAATAAATAAATAAATAAAGTGCTTAGTATAGTTGGACTGTCAAGAACTTGGCTCATTCCTTAAGGGAGAAGAGCGTTGATCCAAAACTTTATACAGTGGTGCCTCGCTAGATGATGATAATCCATTCCACTGAAATCGCTGTTTAGCGAAATCATTGTCTAGCGAAAAGCATCTCCCCATTGGAATGCATTGAAACCTATTTAATGTGTTCCAATGGGGAAGAATCGTCGTTGTCTAGCGAAGATCAGCCATAGGAAAGCCGCTTTGCGAACTGCCAATCAGCTGTTTAAATCGCTGTCTTGTGAAGCTTAGGTCCCGAAAACACCTGTTTGCGAGCGCGGAGGGAGCTGTCAAAATCGTCGTCTAGCGAAAATCGGTTTGCGAAGCAGGGACCAAACATTGTCCAGCAAAATTCCCCCATAGGAATCACTGTTTTGCGAATCGCTATAGCGATCACAAAAAGCCAATGTCTAGTGAAAAAACTGTCACACGGGGTAACTGTCTAGTGAGGCGCCACTGTATCTCATTTAAAGTTTTTGTGTAAGACAGATGTTGACATTTGTAGAAATGGGGATCTTTTTGGGGGGGTCATACACACTTTACTGCTTAAATATGATCTTATTCTAATGAACTAACCAGAGTGCTTTGAATTGTAGGTAGTTCACACTTACAAGGGACACAGGACAGATATCCATCTTGTGCTGCCATTTGGAGATCATGTAATCTCTGTAGATGATGATAGTGTTCTTATTATTTGGGATACACAGTCAGAAGGTGAGAATTTGCTCTTTGTAAAATAACATTAACTATTGAAAAGCAAATACATGAATATGTTTGTAGTGGACATGGATTTAATACTGTTCTTTTTCTGCAGAAGAATACTTGCAACTTAATTTTGATAAGAATGTGTTCACAGTTTCTGCAATTATGCATCCAAGTACCTATTTGAATAAAATTCTTCTTGGTAGTGAACAAGGAAGTCTACAGTTATGGAATGTGAAATCCAAGTAAGAGCTGTATATTAAATTAAAAACTGGTTATCATCTGTTTATTCTCATAACTGCAAAATCAATGAGTAGAGCTTATTGATATGCTTGGGGCAATCATTTCACAAGCATTGCTTAATTTGTAGAGAAGAAATTCTAAACTTGTGATCATAAATGATACTCTTACATTTGGGGTATAGCTGGAGCATATGGGGGAAAGTGCTTAATGGTGTCAAGACTCTGTTGTATTGTGACTGCTTACACCTTATGTGTCTGAAGTTTTTATAGATTGGTTCTTAGCCATTCTTCAAATCATAATAACCAAATCATAAGTTTGTTTTTCAAACTTCTTTGGAAATAATTTTAGTGACTCTCTGATGCAAAACTTGTTTTCTTTTAAGTTTATGTTTAAAATTCTGGGGTAAGAAAAGGATTGGCTAAACCCCTAAAATCATGATCTCCATCACTACAGTTTGTTTGAAATCAGTCAGATTTGAATCTATATAATGCAATCATTGTGCATCTGGCTGCCCTCAGTGATATTTTTGACTGTTATCTTGTGGGTGAATGTGTATTGACATAATAGCTGAAATTCTGTTGAGTAACTCTCTGGGTGTAAATAGTAATGAAGTCATTATGTTACTGTCTAATTTAATTTAAAAGACTTCCTGTCTCCCTTACCCCCACTCCCCAGGTTCTGAGATACCCACTCCAGAGATCCCTTTCAACCTGGAGAAGCCTTTGAGAGTCTCAGGACAGCTGAACATTGGCAATGGTTTTTGTAGATCGAAGGCTCCCTGCCCCATACCCTGGGGCTCCCAAAGGCTTCCCCAGGTCGAAGGGGATCCCTAGGAAGCTTCAGAATTGGGTGAGAGGTGTGTTTAAGAGCTACATTAAATTAAGAGTAGTGTCCATGGTTAAAAATCATTGCCATTTGTGCCTGCAGGTTGATCAGCACAATTTCATACTCTGGTTTGAACCCTGAGAACTGCAAGTGAAATGAGTAGCTACAACTTTCACGTTCAGTTTTCCCTCTACAATGTCCTTTATATGCCAAAAAAGCCTCCCAGAAATCCAAGAAAACTTTCTGTTTGACATGAGATGGGCAGTGGGAAGTTGGAAGTTAGCCGAAATTATACAGGGGCACAAGTGGAGTTTCCTTATGTTTGTAGTTCCTCAGTCAGTGTACAAGCTGCTAATAGTAATACTTGAATTTTGTTACAAATCACAACTACTGAATAGGGCATCTTTATTGAAACTAACAAAGTTTCTAAAACGACTCTTTCTGCCAGAGTTTGGAATATTTGATGCACATCAGTGTGCTCGCTATAAGCAGAATGTGATCTATCTGGTGACTACACTTACAGATTACTTTTCTTGCCATTCTCAGTTTACTTACAAATAGGGAAGCAACCTGAAATGAGTAGCTTCCTCTTCATTTATGGAGATGAGTGTTCTGCAGAGTTGCTACTATTTGCTTATGGAAAGAGCTATGTGGTCAGTAGCCATTAACATCTTGCCCTCACCAAGTTAATAGGGCTGTGTTTCAGAACCTAGGTCTTAATTCCTTCTTCAGTTGGCAATTGCTGGAATAAGGATTAATATTTCTAATAAGCCTACCTTGTCACTCTAGACATCCCCTTCCATATGTATTAAATTATATTAAAGTTGGATAGGGAAAAAATGTGGCCAGCCACTCTGAGAAATACGGGCATGACAGCATATTTAGATTGCATCTTATCACCTCATTTGGAACAGCTGATCTTAAAAATGGCAGACGTAAACGAGAAGGCTGGATCTCAGTTGACTGAGAAAGTTCTAGGGCAGGGACAACAATCCATTGGCACTCCAGATTTTTGAACTTCAACTCCCAGAATCCTTAGCCTATATCCCCAGTAATAAACTACTGTGGGAGTTATACTCCAAAACATCTGGAATACCAAAGGTTTGCCCCCCCATCCTAGAGGTTAATTTTTTTAATGACATTATAATAAACTACTGTGGGAGTTATAGTCCAAAACATCTGGAATACCAAATGTTTGCCCCCCCCAATCCTAGAGGTTAATTTTTTTAATGACATTAAACATTGATAACTATTCCACCTTCCCACAGCAAACTATTATATACGTTTCCAGGATGGGGTGCAGGAGTGACAGTCCTTGAGCAGGTAAGTGATTTGTAGACCAATAAAAAGTAAATATACAACAACTGTATCCTATTCATTGAGTCACTTGCAGAAGTCTTTTTGAGTATTTTAGGCTATATTAAATAGCCAGAACTCATACCATTAAATTCTTTCATTTAGTTGCTAGTCCAGAATAGTAAAGCTGTTTCTATAGAGTTCTTCATGCCTAGAATGTTGAATTATTTGGAATTGTTATGATTTAGTTGTAATAATCTCCTCTCATTTGCTTGTAGGGCATAATCTGAATGAGATAGAGGTGCCACAGATTGATATTTTTTGGTCTGGGGAGTGGACAGATGTTTTGAATCATGTAACACTCCTTCTGAAAGTGCAGATCTGTAGTATGAGAGTCCTAAACTGTCACTGGTGGCCCACATATTTAAAGGAACACCTCTCCTAGTTCCAAGAATTATGTTTAGAATATTGAGACATCAGAAACTTCAATCTCAAGCATCTGGGGCTAAGAGTAATAATCAGTGTAATATTTTTGGGACTGGATTCATAAACCTCTTATTCATAAACTGAAATTACCTTAGACCCTGTAGTGTGGCCTACAAGCAGGAATAACCTGACCACACTTGTTTTATATAAATTAGGAAAACTATAATCATTCTGCGTCATAATGGGGGAAATCCAAAATAATTATTTTGGTATTACCTTTATTAAAATCCCAAGGGACGTGGTGGCGCTGCAGGCTAAACCACAGAAGCCTGTGCTGCAGGGTCAGAAGACCAAGCAGTTGTAAGATCGAATCCACGCGACGGAGTGATCTCCCGTCGCTTGTCCCAGCTCCCACCAACCTAGCGGTTCGAAAGCATGCAAATGCAAGTAGATAAATAGGTACCACTTCGGTGGGAAGGCAACAGCATTCCGTGTCTAAGTCGCACTGGCCATGTGACCACGGAAGATTGTCTTCAGACAAACGCTGGCTCTATGGCTTGGAAATGGGGATGAGCACCACCCCGTAGAGTCGAACACGACTGGACAAAAATTGTCAAGGGGAACCTTTACCTTTATTAAAATCAGACAATGCTACAAAGCTGGTCAAGCCTTTGGGTTCTCCAGAGCTACTTGTCAGGCTAGAAATTGTAAAAAGTGGGACCTGAGGCCACAAACAGAAGAGAAAAACATTTAGTCACTTATTGTGCCAATGAGGGCTGCAATTTAGACATAATCTTAAAACATATATTTAAAGACAAATTGAATTTATTTATTATTTATTTTATTTATTAGATTTATATACCACCCATCTAGAACGTGTCTACTCTGGGCAGTTTAATAGGTATCTGCTGGGGATCCTACTCCATATTATTGATAGGATATTTGTGATGTGTTTTGAAATCCAAACAGTCATATTGAGGTAATCATACAACCTTCCTTACAGGCACCAGCAGTGGATGTCATTGCAGTAGGTCTTGTGTCTGGTCACATCATAGTGCATAATATTAGGTTTGATGAAATGCTAATGAAGTTTCAACAAGACTGGGGTCCCATAACAGCAATAGCATTTCGTACAGGTAAACTTTAGCATTTACTAGAAACTAATAACTAGAACTGGAAAATGTACATGATATAATGTCAGCTAGGTCATAGATGTGAACTAAAACCTAAAGTTTAAGCACAGTTTTAAGTTTAACCTTCTTTAATGCAAAGTCATCTTTGTCCAGTACTGTCAACAATAAATTATTTGCTTGGCATGACTGATATTATAGTTTTATTAAGACACTCCAGGCTATGATTTAGAAGACCATGGATTGTCGAGTGTTCTCCATTTGTGTGTACAGCTTTGTAGATAACTTCCTGATCTCATCAAACCTTAATTTACTGTTTCATCTCAGCCAGTATACAATGGTTTGAATGAGAACCTCTAAACTAAGATTGGTGTTTTCAGAATTTTGCCTGTGTGTATATATATGTGTTTGTGTATTTAAATCTGTTATAATTTCATTTGGCTTTATTTTCCAGTATTGAATGGTTGTGCTCTTTATTTACAACCATTTAAAATCTGATATGCCTTAATCACTACAATAGGAAATCCATATTTACCCATATTTACCCCCTCTTTATGAATCGCTATGGGCATCCAGTTATGGCTGCTGGAAGTTCTGTTGGACATATTGGATTGTGGGATCTGGAAGAAAAGAAACTTCTAGGACAGATGAGAGACACACATTCCACAGCAGTGTCTGGTATGTCATTTGTCCAAGGAGAGCCACTTCTTATTACTAATGGTTCGGACAATGCTATAAGGGTAAGTTGTGCTTGGTTTTTAATATTCATTTTCCACTTGGATGTTCCTGAGATGATTTATAAGTAATGCATCTAAGAATACAATGAATCGGGATGGATTTGGTTTAAATCTGAGTCAAGTTTTATTCCTTTTAGTCAGGAACAAAAATTTCATATTCACAAAAGTGTTTCCCCAGAATGGCAGTATTTGTTATCATTGATAAGATGCAAGATAGTTTGTAGGATAAGAAATGCATAATTAAGTATTATATGTTGAGGGCATTGTATGCTGTCCTTTTCACAATTCTAAGGCAGTTACTGTTTTGAGTTGGAAGTTTGGCTTTAGCCAGTTGTATGGCCCTTCACTGCTGATAATCTTCTCTGCCAATTCTACCTAGAATTGCCATTTTGGACTTTCTGTTGCTCCCACACAGAGGCAAACCTAAATGCCTTCCCACAGTCTTCTCAGTTTAACTGCTGCCCCAAGGATTTTTATGGGTCCTAACCCACTCCACCCATTTTTCGGGTTGAAATTTAGCAGCTCTTCATTCTCTTTAAATCTACTGGCATTACGAGGGTGTGCTGATAAGTATTGCACCTTTCCCAGAACAAGTTGAGCTAGGAAGCTATACAGTGGTGCCTCGCATAGCAATCGCTCCGTTTAGAGATGAAATGCTTTGTGACGCCTTTTTTTCGCTTGCAAAAGCGATCACTTTGCGATGTTCCCTATTGAGGAATTTCCCTTTGCGATGCTCAGTTCCCTGCTTTGGGAACCGAGCATCGCAAGGCAACGATTTTAAAACAGCTGATCGACGGTTTCAAAATGACCGCCAGATAAACAAAATGGCCACCCGCTGTGTTTAGGGACAGATTCCTCGCTTAAGAGGCAGCGAAAATGGCCGTGCTATGGAGGATCTTTGCTGAACAGTGAGTTTTAAGCCCATAGGAATGCATTGAAGGGGTTTCAGTGCGTTTCTATGGGCTTTTTAATATCGCATAGCGACGTTTTCATTCTGCAGCGATTTTTGCGGAATGAATTAATGTCGCAGTGCGAGGCACCACTGTAAATTGCAGGGTATATTGGCCAATTTGTCTGTATTCAATGGTGCAAAAATCATCTACCTATGATTTTAACTTATCTTTCATGTTCAGGTCCAAAGGGAACATGGCAGCACCTCTAGAACAGTTCAATGTGGAGGAGCATAGGATCATAATGAAGTTCCTGTTTCTCCAAGGGAAAGGTGCAAAACAGATCCATGATGAAATGTCACAAACTATGGGTGACAGTGGCCTTTCATATGCAAC